TCCCAGTCTGTCTCCGTAGAGCATTCCGGTGGACATGCCATTTCACACCAACACAAACACACACCACTCACGCACAGGGAAACTCAGTAAGACAAGGCAACGTGATGTTTGCATTGTCTGAGGGTTTGGAAATGGACCCTTGAATGGTTGATTTCCTTTTTTTTTATTTTATTTCTAAAGCTTATCTTCATAGGCACAATACACAATGAGAAATGAAGTGTAGTTTGTTCTTTCTACGGTCTCTGGCCACGTATGTCAACAATTACACAATTTCAAGAAATCTGCCTTGACAGTTTACCATAAACAAACATTCCACCTGAAAGGGCTGTCATCATTAATCAATTCAAAAAAAAAAAACATTGACTTGAAAGTTACTTTCTTGATGACTCTGCATTGTTTAGTTGACAATTTGCATGATGATAATGTGCAATCACATGCAAAAGTTTAAAAAGTAGGTCATACAACAACAGTTGTAATTTTGTACCTACAGTCGTATGCAAAAGTTTGGGTGCCCTTGGTCAAATTACATGTTTTTTTAAAATAAGTTGTTAACATATCCTCTACAGGGAATACATTTCTACACTTTTTATGCATACCTAGTGTTTATTTACTGAATTTAACACAATGGAACAAAATAGAACATTAAATTGTGGTCCTGTGCAAAATTATGGCACGTTTTATGTTGTCCAATATGTTAAATCCATCAAATAAATAGAAAATGTGCTCTAAATTTCAAAGTAAAATTCCATTTTTAAGTATGTTCCCTGTGGAGGATGTGTTGCCTCATTTTCACTCAGAAATTAAATGTGGAAAAAAATTGTGCTCAAACTTTTGCATACGGCTGTATATTTTGAATTTTCTTTCTGCTTCCTCTTGCAGAAAGAAACACATGGACACATTTTTGTCTGATGGACACAATTTTTGTCACATATTGACTTTTTACAGTACTTTTTACAGTTTGCAGTTTTTATCACCCGTGTCCAGTGAGGGCGACAGTGGCTGCAGGTTTCAACTCATCCACAATTGTAGCCTCTCGCTCTCATGCTTTGTTTTGAGCGGAACTGTAGCTTTCCACTTTGCTGTTGCTTTTGTAAGTTTGCGAGTTGTTGCAAGATTTATGCATTATTCTCTTGCAAACTCTGTCCACCGTGTGCTAAGGGCAGCTAGTGCGAATGTTAATGATGTTAACATTACTGATATTGCCGCCATCATTGCTACGTTTTGCCTGTAAATGATGCTTCAGACTCGACACATTTCGGAAATAAAATTCACAGCATTGCAGTAGCTGGAAATAACTTTTTACACTGATAAATTTATTATAAATCTATCAGTAGAACTGCTAAAGCTTTGTCTGATTAAAAGGGCTGCAGTCACAAAGTCAGTTTTAGCAGCACTGCGTGAGTGGCTGGGCTTCAGGCTGTAGCTACAGATGGTCAAACTAGAAAAATGCATTTACAGCGTAATGCCTTAAGTTTGACCCAACTAAATGACACCAAAATAAACATAAGTACAGTAAAACATAAGAATGTTTTCTTAGTAAAATGTTCTTAATGTGTTGGTTAGAAGAAAACGTTTTCTGAAGGCTATATAAAGCCATTTGTCTGGGCAGTTGTGACTTAGTAAATTTCTCTAGAAAGGCACATTTCACACCAAACCACTCTAAATGATTTTGTTTACATCCAAACGGTTGAATGACTAAGTAATTTTGCAAAATTGTTGGAGTTCCCCTTTAACTCCAGGGACTTTTTATTTTCAGATGATTGTGTCCATCGTCAGCTTTGACTGTCCAGTGCAGTGTTTATGTAGCCATTCTGAGCTATTTTTGCTTTTGATACTACCGTAGTTTTATGTATGAATCCATTCCTTCAGTGGGAACTATAATTCTCTGTTCAGGTTTTTAAGTTCATGGTCACTCTAACTTTTCAAGAGCAAACCCCTAAAACTTAAAACTGACCTCAGATCACCACAAAAGCTACATGCTCTCTCTCTTCTGGCCAGGCTGGGAAAGCTCTGCCAGGCTGTTTGGGAAATGGCTGGCTCCCACAATTCCTGGAGTGGGATAAATGCCGGAAACAAGCCTAGGGGAAGTGTGTTATGGAGCAGGGGTGGTGTTATGACTCTGGAGTCAGGGTTACAAGGCCAAGAGGTGATATTTTAACCGACTTTCATGGTGAGTAAGTATCTGAGAGACAATGCGATGTTGAGCAAGGTTTTGACCTCCGCACTAAGTGTATTGTTCGTGGGGTTTTCCGTGAACTTACCCTGTTGAAGAGGGAAATTTGACCTTGTTTGTGTTTTGTCTAATTTGGTGCACCTTTCTCCTGTGAAAGTGATGAAACTATTTCAGCAGATTTCCCTCGCATTTGGTTTTACAGAAAGAAGAGTGTCACTGGTTCAGCCTTTTCTCTCTCATTTAACGATTAAACCACTCATGTTTCATAGAAGGAAAAATATAAACATAAATGTACAATGTTTCATAGTGCACTGTAATTGTTAGGATGGGGCAAAATTATTAAATCGTTTTGTTTAAATGTATAAGTTGATAAATTTGTACTGTTGCAAATATAAAATCATTGTGACTAATAACATTTTAATAAATGTTGGTGCTAAGCCAGTACATTTTACTAGTCACTAGTAAGGATTAACTAGTCCTGTCACAATTATTACATAACCATCTGATCATAATTATTTGAGCTATTTGCAATTATTGAAGCTTACCTCAATACTTTGTTTTACAGTTGATAGCTTTAACAGTTCCATGTTTACACTACAATGAGCAGAAGGTAAAGATTTTCATAGCTTTGGTTGGGGCAAATGCATGCAAATAAATAAAGCAGTAAATGCATTTATTGAGACACATTTTGGTTCTTAAACAACAAACGTTTGTTTATTTGAGCTTGAACTGTGTTCCTCATTAGTTGGGAGCTACTAAGTCTCGACAGTTAGCAAGCAAGATTGCTAATCAGCCAGTTTGGTCACTTTAGGCCTTTATTTTAATAGTAGCATACAATAGACAAAAGCCATATTGTAAATCTCAGTTATTTATATGTTAATTAATCATCAACTAAAATTTCATGATCATGACAGGCCTAGAATTAACTGCTATTAGCTAATTCACATGATTTTATGATTTGCTCTCAATTAAAAGCAGGCCATATTTAAGGGTTCACAAAAAGCACACTAGTGATTTTTTTTTATATGCTTTCCTTTTAAACTCCCACTGTGAGCTTAGATTGAACTCAGCAATATAGTAAGATGCTAATATATACAGATATACATATACACCAAATGGAACACTCACAAAAACAACACATAAGTGTGGTCGCTTTGTTTCGGCTTGTCGTTCAAAGAGGTCTTAATGTGGTCCAAACCAAACAGTCCCGCAGTGAAGCGGACAGGGCAGTCTCTGCTTGATCTGCATGGGAACGCTGGAGTTCATGGGAAAACCAGAGTCATCTATGTGTGCGTGTGTGTGTGTTCAAGAGGTAATGGGGTGCTGTGCATAAATCGATGTGTGTTTGTCAAAGATACATTTGTTCACTAAGCCATATATACGTACATGTTTGTTGCTGTGTTTGTGTGTGATTTTGCGCACACTCATATTCTATAATCTTTTGCATGTTGTGGTGCCTTGGGACCGGAGGCAGGCCGGATAAACAAGCAAGAGTTAATTGAAAACAGAGTTGAGCTGACATACACACAGCTAAGAATCATTCAGCCCACTCTGATGCTGTTGCTAGTCCAGTTCAAAGGCCAAATATTTCTATGATGTAGCAGTCACCACGTTTCAGGTTAGCAGAGCAAAAATGACTGGCTAGCCAGTTTCTCCATTTGAAAAAACGAATTCATTAGTAATTTAGTTGCTATTCCATAATAAGGGAAATTTTAACTTTTTTGTTGGCTGCTTTTCAAAATGAAGAGGTGGATTGCTGTCAAAAAAAAAAGCACAGGCCGTTTGGGATGTGTTTGTGTGTGTGTGTGGTTGTGTGTGTGTGTGTGTGTTTGTGTGTGTGTGTGTTAAAGTAAAAGGGAATGACACAAACTCCCCCAAGCACACCAAAATATCATACAAAATAAGTCATACTTCCTCACTGAGGGATATTTGAAAAACCCAGAGTTTATTTTTCATAGGAACTTTATATCATGTTAAAAGGCTAGTGTTGAAATATACACTCTGATATGTAAATCTCTGTCCCAGTTGGATAAATGTTTGCCCAACTCATCCTGATTGCTTAAATAGTGCCTGCCAATACTGGATTTTGTTATCAGAAACATGTGTACTCTTTTCCTATTACTTCACTGCCTGTATGTGCAATTATAGAATACCGTGCAAAAGTCAGAGAACACCCTTCATTTATTAATTTTTTTCCAATCAAAGCAGACACTAAGTGTAAGTTGTTGGAGATATTTCTCAGAAGACTACGTAATCCACTTGCATTAGAAAAGAGAATGTCAAGGGAAAATGAGTGGGAACAAAAAGAGTTTCCAAAACTGGAGTTAAAAACTGAACTTTGCAGGTGTGGAAAAATATCCCCGCAGATTTCTTTGAAAAACTGGCAGAAATTTCCTGAAAAGAATGGAAGCTGTAATAAAGGCAAAAGGTGGACACTCTAAACACAGAAGAAAATTGAATTATATTTAGGTAATGAGGCTTCTGTGTAATGTTCTGTTGTTTTCTATTTTTTTCCTGATGCTGAAAAATGAATAGCTTATACTCAATGACTGTTTTGGCTGGAAATTAAGTAAACAGAATGTGGCCTATATAGATTGTGGATCTGAGGCAGTTGTTTCAGTGCCAAAGAGTTTAATGGGGATACGCGATGATCTTGATGTTTAACAACACTGTAAAAAAATTTATTCTCAAAACACTCTTCTTGTTGCTTTAGCAAACTGTGTTTATTGACTTAACATGGTGCAAGTTTGTGTTGTTTTTTTTTCCTTCAAACTGCTTGTTTGGGTCTGACTTGTAAACACTGAGGGTTGTTTTATTCCTCATGCAGTTTTTTACGGAATATGGTCCGGATTATTCCCTGGAGATCAGCCCGAGCTGCCGACCCGACCGCAACGAGAGCCAGCAACTGGAGAGGGTCATCAGCACCATCAAAGGTAATCGCCATGATAACAACCAGGACTGCACCACGCAAAGGTGTAATAAACTTACCATGCACCCTTGCTTCATACTCCAGCACTATGCCATTTACGCCATCACAGATGGAATTACTTTAGCCTGTTCAAAGGATCTGGTTATAATGTCCAGAGCATTGGTCTGTTTATTTAGACAGTCATTGATGATTGGTTGGATGGCGTACTGCCACTTTTCCATGTGACTTTCATTCAGCCAGCTGTTTTTTCAGATTTAAAATTCCTCACTTTCATTGTGGTCTCCTGGGAATCCCCCTAAACTAACCCTGGCAAGCCTTCTGCCACTACCATCAGCACCAAACTGCTGTTCTACAGTCAGAAAAACAAGGGAAAATATCTGTGTTTGATGTCCCTAGTAATCAGTAAGTAAATAAACAAGGCTTTGGGAGGAACCTGAATATACCTCCAGAGAGAGCAGGGAATGTGAACAAACCAAACCAGATCTACTCACATACATGTACCCATGCTTTCTTTTGTATTCTTTGTATTCTTTCTGATGTAAATTAACTTGTGTCTGATGTTGGAACAGAGCTGTTGTATGTAGCTCTTGGAGTTGCACAATATATATTCTTATTAATAATTATCCCAATATTGGCCTTTGCAATACTGATGATAGTGCAGAAAGCTGCAATCTATAATGAGCCCTCTAACCAATCAGTGTTTTTTACCACATCCTGTGAGCATCTTTACCAATCACAGTTCAAGATGAGCATTTCTCTGGGTGTTTTGGTGAGTCAAGGTATTCACGTAATCCAACAGAAGTCAGTTATGTTAGAAAATATGCAGGCCAGCAGGAGTGTAATGATACACTCAGCCCACAGTTGGATTCACAGTACTGAGTTCATAATTCAGTACTTTGTTACACAGCAGAGCTGGGAGGCAGGAGTGCTGGAATGAGGTGTTAATTGGTCAATTGGTGGTGACTGATAGTTTGCATACTTTGGTGTTCAAACAAAGAAGCTGCATTAGATGGCATAATTGATAGAAAGCCCATTCTTCACAATGCATTGTCAAAGTATTGCATTGTCATATCACAGGGTCACAGTGCATTGTTACATCCAGGCCAGTCTTAACCATGTTTCATTATTGACTTATTAATGCATTTTTATTATACAGTCATTAGTTAAAATTTTAACACCCCTGGTCACATTACATATTTTGTTTATTTGAAGTGAAAACAAATTACTGTACCCTCTACAGCAGTGGTGAGATCTGGAGATCTGTTTTACTGCAGAGTTTAGTTTCAACCTACATCTAACATGTTGCCCCCTCTCTTTTCTGATACTAATGCATTTGATGCCACCATTCAAGGACTTCTGAAGAAGTTAATAAGCGGATGTGTTAATTTATTTTCACTTAGAAAATTAACGAAACATAATTTGACCCAAAATTTTGCATACATGCTATAGTCTGTACAGTGAGTCTTACATATGGTCATTTTGAAAACTATTAATTCACCTAACTTTCCATTATAACAATCTTATGACAAAGAGTACAGAGTATAGAAATTGCTTACCAGATTGTTAGTGAAAACTGTCAATAAAATAAAAACTAGCATCTAAATCAAAACTAATGTCCACCTGTAAACACTATTACAGAGAAAAAAAAATTGTAGGGTGTTATGAAGGGTGGTCTAGAAGTGGATAACTTCGTTGTCAAACTTCAAAGGGCGCAGCGAGGTCTTTGAGTAATGTAATGTTAATTTGTTTACACTATTTTCCATCTGCTAGCTAGGTCTCCCCTCAGTCACGCTGTTACCAACCTGGGAGGGTGAAGGTTACCACATACTTTCTCAGCAACATGAATTAAATCACTGATTATGCAACGTCATTAAGCAACAAAACACATTTGAAGGAGAACGCTAACTGCTAAATCTATTATGCTAGCTAAGAGATTCCTGCATTAACTACCATTGCGCTGGGTGATTGGGGAAAAGGAGGGCCCTCCTGTTAACCCAGAAAGAGCGAGCAGCTTAGCTACAACTGTATTACAAGGCATATCGCAATATAATCACTAGTGTTTTTTTCCATATGTGGCAGCCCTCGTACCTACACTACCAGTCAAAAAGTGGGGCAAACCTATTCATAGAAGGGTTGTCCTTATTTTGATTATTTTTCACCTTTCACCATATTAGCGAAGGCATCACAGCCATGAAATGACGTAGAATTACACAGTCACCAAAAAAGTTTAAAAATTCAAAATATCTTATTGCCTTAATGCAGTTTTGCACACTCTTGGCACTCTCTTAAGCAGCTTCATGGGGAGTCACCTGAGATGCTTTTCCAACAGGAATGAAGAAGATACATACATGCTGTGACCTTGCTGTTGCTGTATTTGTCTTTGAAACAAATTCCATTTGTATTTGAGCATAAGCCTTTAGTTCAAAAATATTTTCTTATGAAAAATGCATATTCAATTAGGTGTGTCCAAACTTTTGACACGATGGAGGTACTTTTTATGTGTGAGAGAATCTGTCCATGATATTAAGAATGTATTTGATGTGTTAAACTGACCTGGGTTTCACCCATTGCCCCATGTTTCACTTACACTGTGAAGTGAGCGAGGAATGTGTGTTAGAACCTTTGGTCTCTTGTGGAAAGCAGTGTGTGTTTGTGTTCATGTGTGCTTGTTTGTGTGATTGTTAACAAATAACATCACTGTGGTCTCTTGCCTTCACCACTTCACTCCCTTTGGGACTGGTGTGACCTGAACGAAACCCCCTCTTGTCTCTTTTCGGGCTCAGGTTTTGGGGGTTTTAGTTCAAATGTCTGAAACTGAAAATGAAAACTTGTCCAGAGCCATAAAGTTTCAGTACTCATAGTATCATCTGCTCCACCTTGAATTCAGATGTCTTTGAATATTATATAATCTTTCCATGTGTGAATTTCTCTGTCAGCTCACTTCTGGCTAATGTTCACCCACACTCTGAGGAGAAGCCTTAGATCTTAGCTTTTAATGTAAAGGTCATACAGAGGTCACAGGCTCATCTCTTTCAGGAAGGATTTGAAATCTGGTATCAGTTGTGTCACTGGCACCTTTAAGACATCAACTGACCAACTATCCAGGCAGTTTCCTGCCTGACCTCTGTCCTAACCTGAGCTTTCTTCAGTATGCACACATACAAGTATGTTTTGGTCTAAGTTTTTTAGAATTTTGACCAAAATATAAAATATGCATTAATGCATTATGTTGTATCAATCTAAAGGTATTAACTGAATTGATTTTGAAATATTAGGACATCTTAGAACAAATTATGCTAATATTTAATGAAGTATGCAAAAAAAGCAGGCTTTAATTAAAAAAGAATTATTAAAAATTTAATAAATATATCCCATACTATATTCCACTACTGTGTACATAGTTTCTCTAAATTATGCCAGAATACTCAAATTGAATCATGGTAAAATTTTCCAACTTCATGATGTGTTATCTTCTAAAGAATTAAAATCAAATCATTTTCAGCTTGGTTTCCCCCATTCACATTGTTACCAACCTGGGAGGGTGAAGGCTACCACATACTTTCTCAGCAACATATGCATTAAGTCACTACATCTTTTTCAAACTGCCACTTATGCAACATCATTGGACAGCAAAACACGCTTGGAGGAGAACACTAACTGCTAAATCCGTTGCATTGACTAGCAATTCCTGCGTTCACTAGCATTACGCTGGGTGATGGAGGAGAAGGAGGGCCCTCCTGCTAACCCAGAGAGAGCGAGGACCCTGGCCATGAATGTGGCATCACCAGGGATCAAACTCTCAATGATAGGGCTAACAATTAGAAAACAGCGCCGCCCAGGAGTCTTTTTTTGCAATATCCTACTGTTGTGCTAATTTAGTATTGAAAACTTAACAGAAGACAATGACTCCAATGAGTCCAATTTGAAATTACACCTCAGTTTCTGACAAAATATTCACTATAATACTACAAAACAAAAAGTAAACTAAACTCTTTCTTTTTGGGAAAATAAAAACATTACTTAAATTCTTAATACTAAACTAAACTGGAACTGAAGACTAAAATAAACTAAATAAAAATAATAAAAACTAATAAAAATTTCCTAAGCTATAAGAACCCTATTGTGTACATCAGGAGTATTCGGTTCTGGTCCTGGAAGGCTGGTCTCCCGCACAGTTTGAGGATTTTCCCTGGTGTGTATTGCATGGTGGAGGTTCTGGGTCAGGGGTGCATTCTCAGTCAGTCTTTATCCATTATTTGCAAGAAAACTGCATTCACATCGGTAAAAAGGGCAGTTTCAATCAGTGCTGCCTTTGAATATTTTTAGTACCCATGTGGTATGTGTAGCATGTAGCGTGTATGCACCCTCTCTGCCATACCACCAGAGGCTAATTAAAAAGGGCTTAGGGTGCAGACTGCCCAGCCTCGTTTTGAGATGCCTCCCCCTAGCCTTAGGAATGTTATGTTGTAGGTGAGCCATAAGAACAGGTCCAGAGTCAGTGTCCTCTTACTGTGTGTAGAGGTCACTGGTGGGCAGTAGAGAGAGAAATCCTGATCTTGGGTCAGTTTGCGGATAGGTCCCTGCCATGTAAGCATTTTCTTTCTTCGGTCAGATGCAGTTATGTGTTCTATTTAGATGTTTTGTGGCTGCTTTGAAATAACCAGGGTGTCTGTAAAAACATACAGGATTTTAAGGATTGCTGTGTTGGAGGTGGCTATTTGCATAGCTTTAAATACAGCATAAACATGTGGTAAATGACATTCTGTTATATACAAAGCCTTTATTTGATGCCTATTTTAATTTGGTGATATTTTTCAGTTTATGGGGCCTCTTTTGTGGCACAAATACTGTATTTGCTGGTTTATGTGTGGGCACATGAACACCTAGCAACAGCGTGAGCGATTTTGAGTGGGAGGCTGGGAGACTGCCCATGAGATAGCACGGTTTAATCGCTGACATGTTGTAACTCTGTCAAACATCATATATGCCCTCAGCTGGCACCAAATGAGCCCAAAGCACTTTCTCACACAGCATCAGCTTCTCCTGTGCCAGGCGAACAGGATGTGGTGCAACAGCTGGCCACTGTGTGCCCGCTACAGTAGGCTGGAAGAGTCGCGTGCCTGTCGTTGACTATCCCCACCCATGGAAACCGCAGACAAATCTGGGAGCTTTTCTAAAGACTAGTGGGCTGCTTCTTGACAAGGCTATGCTTGGCAAGACAGAGGTATCCACTGTGCTGGAGGGAGAACAGGCGTTTTACAAAAAGGATTGGTTGGTTTACACTCTTAAAGGTGCCAAAAGGGGTTATTTAGACCGATGCCATAGAACAGTGGTTCCTAACCACCGGGCCATGGATAGTTTGATACTGGGCCGCAGCTATGAATCAATGAGTGGGGATGGGAGGGTGCTTAGTAGCCCACCTGCTGAATAATACTACTTTATTATTATTGTTATGTTTTTTTATTGGACTTCTGGTCCATCAACGCCATTGTGGGCTGTGGCTCAGTACCACTATGTTTAAAAAAGGTTGGGAGCCCTTTTTCAACATCCAGAAGAATGATATTTGTAAATATGTGTAAAAGTCTAATTGGCTGCCTTGCAGTGTGCCTCATTTAAAAAAAGACTGGTCTGAAACATTTCTTATAACTTCACTATAAATGAGTGGAGCTGAACTGAAAGGGCAGATGTATGTAAATGTGTTGGTTTTCATGACATCACAAAAACAGCAAATTCAAAACAGGCTGTTTTTGCAGCATTGTTTCCACATATGGACTTTGAGGGCTGGGGACTGAATAGTTTTGAAACTTTAGAAATGTTTATCTACTGCATCAAACAGAAATTCAGATTTCCATAATATGAGCCCTTTTTTTCTAAAGATGTGTAATTTTAATAAACCATTTCAAAGTTTTAAGAACCTCCACATAATGCAAATGTTCTATAACTCCATGAGCCATATGGCCAAACCAAGAAACATTTAGGAACCTTTAGTTTTAGGAGTTTAGTGCACGTAATGAAATCATGGAGCAATTTAAAAAAAGAGGGACAACTGGTTTGATGTAAGAAGCTTTGTATTAGTTGTTGGGATGTGTCTGCAGTGTTCACCACCATGTTCTGTATCATACCATCTGACTATCCTCTCATTGCTTTCTCGAAAGACTACAAGATCCTTTTTTGGTGTTGTTTAAAGCCCTTTGCATGTGCTGCCAACATCTACAGCTTACATCAGCTGAATCATATTTTAATTAGAAATCCACCGTGGCAACATTTGATGTGTTGTTTGTTTGTTATCTTATTTATGCAGTCTTCGCCTACACTGGATTTACAAGTGGGGTAGGCAGGGGACATTATTTTTTTCCCACCTGTATTCTGAGAAACCTCGCCTCCTGTGATGAAATTAGTTCATACTCACAGTCACACTTTGCTAAGATTGGCTAGTAGTTCACATTTGTGTAGCCAAGAATATGGCAGTATATCTACTTGAAGAACTGCAATTGATTAAGGCAGGTAATAAATGGCAAGGCCTGCAGTTGCTGCGCATTACTGGCGTTTCCAAGCACATCTGGGGAACATTTACAAGATCCTGAGCGCTGCATTCGACTATATGAGAGGGGGGAGAAAGAGAGAGAACAAAAAGTGTCTAAACAGCCCACATGGTCGCTTTCGCTGACCCTGATTAGCGTATTCTACAGCAATTTAGATCCCTCTTGGCTTCAGCCTCACATAATCTGATAGGCCTACAGCAGAGCTGTCTAATTAAGACACTATGCGCTGCAAAGAGACAGGAAATGATGCGCCAGTAAAAGCTGAGACCATTCACTCTTTCTTGTACTTTAAATTGAAATTGCATGCAGCCTGTCGCCATTGTGGAACAGCATATGGCGACATGAGTAGAAGTGGCTAAGGCATCCTAAAAAGTTAATGCTGGTTTTACATCAGTGAAAGGTCCAAAACAAATATGCATTGATTGTACCTTGATGAACGAAAAATGTACCTGCACAGAACCTTTGTTTCTAACAGTGTATATGCTATATCAAAATTGAAGAAAGCCCTAAAAGAGAGGAAGCCCCTGTACAGAGAGTTTTGTTGGCTCTAATCGTTCAGTGTGGAACTCTCAATCAGAGAGCCTGGTCAGGAAAAGTTTGCTTTTTTTTAGCTGGTTGTTGCTCAGGCACTTCTCAGCTAAAAGCCCCGATGAACTGTCTAATGTAACACACAGACTGATAAAAGCGTGAGTGTTACCACACATTAAAAAGCAATGTTTCACCAGAGCTGAAGGAATTTACAGTTTCATATGTAACTAATATTGTCATGCAGCCTCAAACAGCTGCCCTAAAAATTTACACAAAGACGGATGACGTGAGTAATATGGAACAGAACATGCCATTCGTTTATGCTGTTCCACAGTTAGAATTGCACGGTCACACATGGAAACATTTCCCTTTTTAACAGGGGACCTAAACCTTCCAAAGTGACTTTAGCTTCAAATCAGCTTCGTTAGCTGCTTTTGATTGTTTTGACAGCCCTAATGTTATCAAAACACCATCTGGCCTGGACAAAAAGGATGTCCTCTTTTAACACATGTTAAGTGTTTGCATGTTAAGGGGGGACAATGTCATGCAAATCACCAGTGGAGGTTAGAGTGATGTGAATTTACATGCAGTGATATTTGCATGTTTTTTTGCTTCCTTAGGAAACGTGACCACCTTGCTATTTGCATTGTGATGAGGTGTGAGGTTTGTTTTGAAATCATGTCAGAAAGACCACCTTATGTCCACTTTATACACTTCTAAATGTAGCTAAATTTGACTAAAATTAACCAGATTTTCTTTGCAACTAACACCATACTTTTAAAAATAAAGGTTCCTACATGGTTCTTAGCTTGGATGTACAGGGTAACTGGTATATCTTTATATTATATGGGGCTTCTTTAAAATTTGAAAAAGGTTATTCATACTTGCATTTACAAAACTAGTTTTTTAAAGAACCGTCTACTGCAAGGTTCTTTTAAGACCAAAAGTGGTTCTCCTAGGACATCACTGCAAAAAATAACTTTGAGAATTTGATCACAGTGCTGTGTAGAAGACAGAGACCACCCTTCATTTATTTAATTTCTAGCCAAAATGGCCATGAAGTTCAAGTTATTCATTTTTCAGGATGTATTTCTGAGGAGATTAGGTATAAGATAACCCACTTGCATAAGGGGAAAATCAAAGGAAAACAATTGAACACCAAAACTGTCACCATCAGATAAACAGTACTTAAAGCTTTCATCTTTGAGAGAGAGGAGAAAATCAAGCTCCACTCTCGCTTCAGATCTGAAAAAATCCACAGCTGTTTTTGTCCTTCTACAACAAGTCTGAAAGAATGTGTAGACAAAAACGAAGAAGATTTGCAAATCAAACAAAGATGCTGCTGGTGTTCTCAGAACAATGGACTGACTGGGATTGTGAGAAGCAGAAAGTGCAACCAACTTCTAAGACTGAACTTCAGAGGTGTGGAAAAATATCTTTGTAGAACTGAAAGCAAGACTCTTGAAATGAATGGAACCTGAAATAAAAGCAAAGGGTGAACACAATAAATACTGAACAAATTAACATCACATTTAGTTGTTAAGGCTTCTGTGTAATATTCTGTTTTCTCCTTTTTGATGCTGAGAAATTAATAACTTGTACTAAATGGCTGTTTTGACTGGCCTCTGACTTTAGCGCAGTACTGTATATCTTTCAAAAAGCTGATAGTTTTATTATAACATGTCATTCTTTTCTTCAACATAGAATGTCAGGTTAAACCGAAGTCAAATTTATCCCCTGATTGTGAACTTGTGTGATTCAGAGCTAAAGGGTTAAAGGCTCTGACCAATACCATTACCACACTGACCATAATAAGAGATTTCCTGGGTTAGCAAAAGGAAATGTTTGGACTGATGTTTGACAAACATGTTTAAGTTGAGGTGTAGTAGGAGTGTGTGTATGAGAGAGAGAGAGTTTCTAAATACTCTGTCTGTGTTGGTGTGTTATCTTCATAAATTTTGATGTAAATGTGTTGTTTCTTTTAATGATTCATGTTCTCCTCTCTTTTCTCCTCTGTCTCTTTCTCCTCCTATCGCTGCTTGTTTACAGGGAATCTGAAGAATGTGGTTTAGGAGTGGGCTCTAAGCTCATGTTTCCAAATCAGACCCTGCGCTCCTAATGAAGACAGTATGTGGGAGCCATCGCCAGAGGGGAGCTTTGGAAAACATTACTTGAATGTTTCCAAGGATTTTTTTTTCTTAATGGGAAAGCGAGTGGGCCAGTGTTACCCCATTTGATAGTTTCTAGTCAAAGGGGGTCAGAGGGTGAAAACTCAAAAGGGTTTTTATTATTGTTCCCCTCCACGGCCCTTTTAGACAGAAAATGAAGACTAAATCTTCCTCAACTAGACTACGATATTTTTAAATGTTTGTACTTGGTTATTTTAACCACTGTGTAGTCTTTGTTTTGATGGTGGTCTCTTGTTTTGATCATAGATACACTTGAGAAATGCAGTTAAACATGCAGTACATGTTTAGTGTATGGCTCTGTCGTCAAGGATATGACCCCGTTTCTGACACGGCATGCAGCTCCACGTTCCCTGGTGAAATCCAGTCACTGTCATACTGGGACTGTCAATATGCACTCACACACACACTCTCCAAACGTTCTAACCACCCAAACATGCTCACAGAAACCGGAATAGACATAGAAGAAAGAATGAAAAGGGCAGGAGAGTGAAGAGATCTCTGTGAGTGGGGGTTAACACAACAGGCTCCTTTTCTGTGACTAATAATAAATACTATAACCATTTATTTCATCCCTTCTTTAAGTTTGTTTACCACGAATTTAAAGGCTTTGGACAGACTTTGGACAGCATTACTACTCACAATCCAACCTGACCCACCACCGTCCGGTTCCCGCTTTGCCTGCATTAACCCGTGTCCTTTTACATGATGCACACCATGAATTTGAGAAGAGGAAAAATGACACAAAGAGAAATTCATTGGGGCAGAATGACCAAATAACAGTTTTAACTGAAACCACCACCTGGTGGAAGAAACAGTTCTGTATGTCTTTTTATTATTGCTTTCTGGCCTCTATTAATTTTCTGTGTGAACTTTGACATTTCAGTGTAAATATTGCTTTGTTAATAAAATCCAAAAGCCAACCCGTGTGGTTCTCTCTTGTTCCCTTTGCTGTCCCCTGAACAGTCCAGAGGTTTTTTGCCATATGTGGAGCAGCAGTGCTGTGATCTTTATAGTCCTCTCAGTGCCTGTGGTTTCTCTCAGTGCCACTGCAAGTGTGATTCATTAAGTGCTTTATTAGCGTTGAGAGATGGGGCTTACACCATTTCAATCCCATAAACGGATCAATGCTGCCAAGGGAAGACCGTAAAACGTGTGAATTAAAGACGAAAGACATGACCAAGTTTACGAAGCCACACTGATTAAAAACCCACACTGCATGGCTTCTATTCTGTATTTCCACATTCATATTCACGACTCAGGATTGAAAGAAATTAGATAACTTTATTCATTCAGTCCTGAAGAAAACAGGTCATCTTTGACCAGCACACCTTTTATGGTTGTCTACTGCAAAACACTAAGGGCCGGCTTAATGGACATGCATTAACCTAGTCTTGGACTAAATTGAAATGCCTATTGTGTTTCAGCATAAAAATCCCCTTTAGTGTGGACTTAAATGTAGGCTTTTTCTGGGTCTTAGAAACTAACTTTACACTTTTATGGTTTTATATAGTTAAAAATACGTTCTATGATGTAACAATAACAAAATCCATTTAGTGCTATGTAGAAAATTTTAAGAGGTTCTTTCAAGAACCATGTAACCATGCAAAGTAGTATTTATGCATTCAAATTGTTCTTTGAGTCTGCACAGTTCTACCATTGCCAGATTCACTTTTTTAGAGGTTTAGATGTTCAGTTTTACCATACACTCCACCAGACACTGCACATCACACCTTACAATTGTTAGTCAATTAACAATTAGTCCATTTTTTTTCTTTCTTTGTCCAGGTTATTCATTTTTCAGTATCAGGAAAAAAGTAGAAAACATATTTAACAGAACATTACACAGTAGCCTCAACAACTAAATATACTATATACTATATTGTAGCATATAGTATAATATACTGTATACTAAATATAACATAACATTTTTCAGTACTTGTGTGTCCACACTTTCCTTTATTGCAGCTTCAAAAAAAATATAGTTTCAGTTTTTCATACAAATCTGCAGGGATATTTTTCCACTCCTCCAAGTTCAACTTGGAAACTGGGTACATGTTCTGCTTCTCACCATCCAAGTAATCCCAACTCATCAGTCCATAAAACTTTACTCCACATCTCAGATGTCCAGATTTGGTGTTTCAGAAGAAATTTTGTCTATTTTCTTTTATCAGTAACACAGACAGTGACATTTTCTCAGTTGGGAAGAAAGTGTGGAGCTTGATTTTCTCCTCTCACTCAAAGATGAAGGCTAACGGTCGTTACCTACTGGTTATCTGATAGAGGGCAGTTGTGGTGGTCTACCAGGTCCTGCACGTTTGTTAGGAGTCCCATTTTCTCTGATTCTTTTAACAATTTTATTTATTTATTTTTTACTTAAATTATTCTGCCTATTTTCCTCCAGCTTTCTCCTTCCTTATGCAAGTGGATAATCTATCTATTCTCCTCAGAAATATCACCTTGTGTGAATGTTAGGTTCTGTTTGAAGGGGAACATAATGTCAGAGACTCTTAGGGAGCAGCTTTTGTTGAGAGGACACTGGTTGTTTTTAAGACTGGAAGGATGGAAGGGTCTAAGTGGCAGTAGAGTGCACAAAAGAGAGAACAAATTAAATACTGATAGACTTGACATTAAACTTAGCGCTGGAGGCTTTTTGTGTTAAATATATTTCCTGCTTTTTGACACCTGAGAAGTGAAAAACATGTACTTATGACCATTTTGTGTGGAAATTAAATAAATGAAAGGGTGGTCTGACTTTCTGCACAGCTGTAAACATGGCTGATACATAGTATTCTTACAATTTAGGCTTTTGACAAGATGTCAACATTTATTTAAAATAAATACTTCATTGTTGCTTTTAGAGTGCAGAGGAGTGTGTGTTGTTTATATGCTGCCGTAAAATGAAAAGAGGGAACTTCCCATTGACATGACCAAGACTGAGTTTGCATTGTTTGCCTTTGGTTTTAAACGCGCGCGCGCACACACACAAAATCGTGCGCACCTGCTCGTCATGTTCCTCTGTTGACTTCTCAACGTATTTTATGCAAAGCGTTCATCTGGCCTCTCTGAAGCGGCGCCCTGTTTGACCTGCACCAGCCCTCCACACTGTCCACCATATAGTTATACACCCTGCCTCCGTCAGTCAGGCCCAGGCAAGGAGGACGTGGCTGCTTTCATTGTTATTCAGGGATTTTCTCCCAGCATGGTGTACACAGCAGTAATGCACTCCTAGTTAGTTTTTTCCTTTACATCCAAACGGTAAATCAGAAACCGTTTCCCTCATTTGCATGTCGTTCCCCAGAGAGCTGAAGGAAATCCCTGCTCTTCCAGCCGCCGGTCTTGCCTGATCTACATGCGAAGTGTGCTGATGAATGACTGGGCAACAGATGCAGCCTGTTAACAGAGGCGGGAGCACCAACAGCCAGCCTTTCACTGACAATACGGAGATAAATGACCTAAACGTAAACCAGCAGGCTTTACATGACAACAAATAAGGGTTTTTGGCGGACTTTCAGTCAAAACTGGGTGGATTTTATTTAGTACATCCTCGTTTTTCACCTGTCAGTCAGAGCTGTGTTTGGAATCTGTACATCTACCCTCATTAGTTTGATCCTGATTTTGCTATAATTACCCTTCTGTGGCCTATTTGATACAATCTATAGGCTACAAATGCAGAATGCGAGGAAATAAATATAAATAAAGAGTAAAGTGGATTTGATTTACTCAGTGCTACTTTATTTGTGTGAATGGTGAGTGTTTAGTGTTGTTACTGGGGCCAAGAATGTCACGTTAATGTTTTCTCACCCGTATTCCGGTAAACCACGCCCCCTGCACCAGGATAGGCTAGTCGGTCTCCCGCACCTACGCTACGATTGGACAGAAGGTCATATTTATCCTGTAAATAATCCGCCGAATGATGGTGAGCATGAACAACTAGCCAACCGTAGCACAGGAGACGGGGCTTGTCTGAATACGGGTGGGTTTAGAAAATAACCCGCATCCGTCCACTTAGCTCGTTTTCACAGCGGGCACAAAGAAAACGCGGATGGGATCCAGGTTGGACCGGACTTTGAGTGTACTGGCTTTTACTCTTGGACACAACACAGATGAATCTCATGTATAGCAGCTACAGTCATCGTTTCCTACAGTACCGGGGGCACTCGACACTGGTTCAGGTCTCAGTTCATAATTTTGTAGATTAATGCTCTCTGGTGGAGATGTCTGAATAATCAGGGATGTAAATTTTAGGCTTTACTGATATGATTCCAAACTGTAAATCAACAGTTCAATAGACTTTCTTGATACATAAAATGTTTCTACGCTCTCATGATTGAAATTCTACAAATTTTTCAAAATTTAATAGTTAATTCAGAACCATTGAGAGTGTTTTGAAAAAAGAGATCTCTTTATTATTATTGTAGGAAAATGATTGACTCTTCACAGCGGTGGTGTTAGGAAGGGGTTACAATGTCTACAACAATGTAGTCATTTTGTTTTCTATTCCAAATCACCAGTAAACTTACATGTAACTTCTGAGCTTTATGTGTTAATGGTAAATTAGTCAAAATAATAAAGTTTTCTTTGGAAACTTTTACCTTAAAACACCCTGCATGTACATCTCCATCATGAATAGATTTTAAAAATATGTTTTAGGCCAAAACTTCATCTCAAAAGTATTGTAAAACAACGTCTCTGGTATCAAGCAGTGTATTCAATCCCACTTCATGCAATATCCCAGAGTAAAATTTTATTGCTTAAATGTTTCACTTTAATGGCTCGGGAGACTTTATGGTGTTTCTCCTAAAGTACTACTGGCCCAGATGAGTGTTATTATCTTGGCAGATCTGAGCACAATATGTAACTTTATAGAGATCTCTGCTGAAACTGAAGAGGAGATGTGTGAGATTACTGGGCTCTTTTGCTCAGGAGAAACATCAGAGCAGCAGGAGACTTCAGCAACAGTCTCGTTTTTCTTTCCATGTGACCTCATTGTCTGAGAGAAATCACTGAGATATTGAGGAGATCTCTTTTTTGAGTTTTCATTCCTGTAGGAACTTTCTGTGAGGGAGCTTTTAGAGGCATTAAACTGTTCAGATGGGTTGTGAACAATTCTGCTACAGTTTTTTGGAAATTACTATTAAATTACTACTTTATCTTTATGTACACTCTTAAAAAGATGGTTCTTCAAGGGTTCTTTACCAAAGGGAATATAGTAAGAACCGTGAGTTCTGTATAGAACCATTTGCATTCTTAAATGGTCCTTTGCATGGTGAAAAGGTTCTTCAGATTGATGGAGAATGTGTTGTATGTGGTTCTATATAGCACCAAGAAAAGGTTCATATATAGAACCATTTTCAAAAAGATTCTGTATAGAACCCTATACACATTCTGCATCAATCTGATAAACCATTTCACCATGTGAAGAGCCATTTAAACATGCAGATGGTTCTATATAGGACTCGTGGTTCTAAACAGAACCATTTCCTTTACTAAAGAACGCTTGAAGAACCATCTAGTTTATTATGTTTTATGTTCTCTTTCAATGAATAGATGATGCCAACTTTCAATTTAGAAAACAAAACAAGACATTAAAAAAGAAGACATTTCCTCAACAAAGCAGAGCAAAGACTGCAAAAAAAACAAACAAACAAAAAAAAACAACGACAAAAAAAAACAAACAAAACAAAACTTTAGTTTTGTGATATGGAACTGTGTGTGCATGTGCACTCTGGGTCAGTACAGTCACGTTGTAGCCACATCAAGAATTAATCAATGTGATAATAAATAAGCATTTTTAGCGGCTCTGTCACACTCAAGGTCACATAGTAATTGCAATTCAGGGGACAAAACCCCACTAAAATGCTTGCAGCTGCACATGTGGTGGATTAATGCTGAAAATGACACAGTGTGTCAAATATTCTCAATATTTTTAATTTTTAAATGACAAATATGGAGAAAACCCGCGCTTTCTCAACGTGTGACAATCCAGTTCCTCTAAAAAGTCCGCTCCACGTTTTCGAGACGCCTCCACTCTAAACACACACAGCTCCGTCTTGAAAGAGTGGAGTGTGTGTATTTAGGCTAATGCCTTTGATTCAGTATCAGTTCAGAGAGGGAGCTGTGCTGTGACGGGCTGGGGGAGAGTCTCTGAAGCTGAACCTGCTCAGATCGCGCTCCACACCTTTCACACCAGCTCGTTAATGTAAATCTGCAGCTCTTCGAGATTTCTTTATCCTAAGTTTTTTTTTTTTTCTGGACACAGTTGTTTAGTTTTGTGGAGTTTAGCTTTCAGCTTGTCTTGAATCTGCATTATATTGGATTCAGAAGAGCACGACTTTCTCTGTTAAGGTAAGCTCTCAGAAGCTGTGAGCCTGTTAGTGAATAAGCCCTGCTATTCATTCATTCCTTAACTTTTATATCTGTGTCGTTCACTGGGACGTGCACTATTGCTTAGCAGATGATCGTCTTAAATCAGAGGTTTAAGATGTTGGAATTTGAGAGGTTTCTTAAAATTGTTGTTGAAATGAATATAATAAATATCTCAATACGAAATTGTTAATTTTGTGAATGATACGACTACACGAAGAGCTTCATGCGTTTCCTCAAGGACTTTCCCTTCAAAACAGGCTATTCCTGAAAGGGTATATTGTCTGGATGAGTCACAAACTGCTCCATATCTTTTCTGTTATAGACCTACATCTAATCTGAATTAATGGCCATTAGTTAAAGGTCACAAATTGATGTTTTAGCTAGTTTGTAACATAATTAGTTGTGTAACTGACACCACTAACGATTTTGGCGAATCCCCAACGTCTTGGCTATTGATAGCCGAGAGAGCTGGCTGTGGTAGAGTAGTTCTTAAAACAATGTCTTATTTGTGGCATTGCTGGCAGTATGTGTTGATTCCTTTGGGAAGAAGGCCCAAAAACTACTAAAACAGATGACAGTTTGTACAGAAGAACTGCTGTGCCATGAAGATAATTATACATTGTTTTGTGAACGTCTTACAACTAAATTTAGTGTGATGCAAAAAATGCCACAGAATTAGTTCTGATGTGGTGGTAAGTTTTACAGTCCTACCTCAAATGGACAGTCACTTTTATTTTATTTATTTTTATTCATGATCATATTGGGATTTTCTATCCTTTGGTTAAAAAATCTAGTCCCATGTGACTAAATTCAATAATAAATTAAGTGATAACACTTTTTTTTACTCTTGTTTGAGCCAAATTTCTTCAGATTTATGCCAGGCAACCTCAGAGAACGCACAACAGACCAAAGGGACTTTAAAACAGATGCAGATGTTATTGGGGTATTTTCAGATACTGATCTTATTGGGGTAATATGATTTTAATACATGTATAAATTGTTTAAATATTTTTTTAAAGCACAATAATGAATCATTGTAATATCCATTAAAATAAGTTTAGGCTGTTATGTAATGTAAGGTTTTAAGTTGCAGGCTTGAGAACACAAGGCCACCTACAATCCAAAAAATTCCCCTTTTTTGCGAACATAGACAATGACTCTAATTACGTTGTAGGCCTAACTAAGCATGTTGTATGTGACTGCTTCCAGGCAATGAATAATGCACACAATGGCCCAACACAAAGCTCCTGAGCTGAATGCCCCACAGCTGTCAATGTCAGAGAGAGCTGATGAGATGAGCTTGTGTGTTTCTCCTTGCTGGAGGCCTGCTGCAGCTGCATGCCAGCCTTTTGCAATTACGCCTTTTCCCTGCACACGCGCTTGGAGAGGAACTGAGGGGAAAGGGGCAGCACATATGATTAAGTGATTAAGTGCCTCAAAGGACAGCCTCATGACTCTCACTCCATGTGAATGTGTGTGTACTGGGGGAAGACAGGGTCACAGGACAGGGCTTTTATTGCACATCCATGGGCTCATGATTGTTGCCCTTTTTCAAGCATTTCTGTTCTACAGTACTATAAATTGATTAGTGCCATCATTGCCAAAGGGCCAAATATTTAAACCCCCAATCAGGAGTTTCTACAACTACCCCAGGTCTACTAACATGGTGTGTGGAATGGTAAATGTATTTGATATATATATTTTAGGTGGTACCTCAATAATCAAAACATTTGAAGTGACCCTGATTGGTGCTTCATTCCAACCTAATTCAAGACGTGGTCAAATGAGTCAATATTCTCCCTTCAGATGTTTGAACAGGGTTTCCCAACTTTGGTCCAGCACAGTTTGGTGCGTTCCCTTAACTGATGAGTTGGATCAGGTGTGTTGGAGCAGGAAAATCACCAACTGTGGTGGACTCTGGCCCTTCAAGGCTGCAGTTGGGCAACACTGCCTAGAAGTAATGATTTGCCATTAAGAACGTGCAGGTGTGGCTTAGTAATTACAAGGGCTTGGCATAGGGCTTTATAATTTAGGTATGAAACTTGATCATTTGTAATAATGTAACTCAAGTGAGAACTTTTAGTTTTAGATTGTTAGCAAATATTGCATGTTGTGGTCAGTCTAGTGAACTGAATGTCTGTGTAAACAGGGATTCTCACCTCAAAGCCTTTACTGGACTTGGATTAGTTTGCATCCCATGGTTAGACTGCCTGGCCCATTTCTTATTTCCGACATCTCTCCTACTCTTCAGGTGTTACCAGGTGATGAGCTCACTGCTGCTGTCCAGCTCCAACATGAAGGATCGTGACTCTCTGAGCCTCCTGCACTATCCCAGCTCTGGCAAAACCAGCCCACAGTTCCCCCCTCCAAACATGCATGCTACCTCCCCCAGCCTGGGCAAACCCCAACCCTTTTGCCTGCAGTCCAGTCAGCACCTCATAGCCTCCATGCAGCTGCAGAAGTTGAACAGCCACTACCAGAGCCTGGCAGGCTCTTCTGGAGTTCCCAGTGGACCGAACAGAGGGTTTGGACCTGCTTCTCTGAGTCCAGCACAGATCACGGCCACTTCGATGGCTCAGGGTCCAGGGATCATAGATTCGGATCCAGTGGATGAGGAGGTTCTGATGTCTCTTGTGGTGGAGCTGGGTTTGGACAGAGCTAATGAGCTTCCAGAGCTGTGGCTGGGCCAGAACGAATTTGACTTTATATCAGACGTACCTGCTGGGTGCTGACTCCCTGAGGCAACCACTGCTTCACTTTTCCATTGTCTCCCTTTTGCGCTAGAGGCGCTATTGGATGGCTTGTATAGATGGATTTTTGTTTTTCCATGTGAAATTTAGACTCCCTATAGAAAGTCTAAGCTGCAAAGGTCCAGATGACCACAGTTTCACAGTCAAGACTACTAAAAAGACTGTACTCTAAAGACATTTGCCTACCAAAAGGATATAGAACTTAAAGCTAGGTGGCAGCAGAAAATTCTGGCAAGGAGGCTCTCTTGAATCAAAAACATGGCAGAGCATAGACCTTCGTTATTCAAATTTGCGTTCTTCTTCTCCCCTCTCCAGGGACTCCTTTCAAAGAGGTGCAGGAATTTCTCAGCAGTCACCAGACGTGGAATTAAGTTGTAAGCTTCAAACATGGACCAGGCCTTCAGCATGAGCCATACCACAAGTGTCTTATGGTGTTACTAAAGTGATATTATTTTTTTATTTTTATTTTTTTCTTCCCTCTTCTTTACTTCCTCATTGGAACCCCAGCAACTCAAGCCCATTACAGAAATTGGCCAAATAATTTCTGTGGATATGTGACCCTTCTTTCCTTTGACATGGGTGGTTGTCTTCACCATCTGAGTGTGAACTGTATAGTGAAAGGTGTATGAGAAAACACTACATGACTTCTGAAAGATGTGCTGAGGACGTGGTCTCCAAGGACCGGTTTCGTCTGCTGCCTTTTTGCCGTCTGTCAGGTGTACTCTCTGTCCAATTGAGTGGCCGGATGGGGTTTCGTTTCCTAATGGAAGGTGATCCTGAAACCGGCGTGCGCTCGGATGGGCTACTCTTTTCCAAAACGCATGTCATCGCAAGCCTCGTTTACCCCAGTGGAACCTGATCTGGCAGGCAGCTTTCCATGGTTAAATATATTAATGATAGACGTGTCCGTTTACTACAGAGGTTGCCTGCACGGCCACATAGCCTAATTTTCAGTCTAGAAAGGTTGTGAATAGCAGAAAATTCTCTCTGCAGATTATGTAAACTAAACAAGGTAGCTTAGAATGAGAATCCTATTAAAAAGCACTATATTTGTACATGTTTAATCTTTTTTTTTCTTTTTTTTTGTGCTGTATATAAATAAAAAAATATTAGAAAAGATCAAAGCAGACTCTTAGAGACTCCACTTACCTGTTCCTAAAATTTCTCTAACTTAGAATAGGCTAATGCAAACTTGTGTTAATGGAAAAAAATGAGATGATTGTCTTTTTGGTTTAACGATTTTTGAATGAATCATAAAGGTGATTTTATTTTTATTTTTGTTTTTTGTTTTTTTGTTTAGCACTTTCTTTCCATCTTGTGTATTTTTCTACAAAAGATGAAATTACAGTTATATTTAAATGAGTGTATTGGCTATGTTTTCTGAATATGAGTAAATAAAGAACCGAAATCAATCTTTTGATTTCTTCTGTCCATCTTTATTGTGGTTTCTGATACCTGGTTTATAGATTATTGTGGTACAACTTGAAAGAAGAAGATTTGGGAGGAAACTGTGAGGAAAGAACTTTGCTGGAAGAACTTTAAGGACCTATTTGATTAACCACTGAAGTGTTCAGTCTGTGCAGAGCTTGAAGATAAGCAATATCATGCCATCTAGTGGATATCAGTGAAGACTGCAACTCTACTTCAAGCCTCAGTACAAAATGACAGTTTGCTGTGTGTTTATGTTCTATTCCAGTATGCTGTGGAAAACTAGCCAAGCAATTAACACTCCAACCTATGTTTACAGACAGACTATGTTTGTAAATAGAGAGTCCACACATTAACAGGATGAACAACTTCAGAACTCTGACATTTATTGCAATGTACAAAGACCAAGCTGCATAATTACACACAACATACTGCATATACACCTCATTAGGTTCACCTACCTTGTATCCACATTCACTGGTCATTGTATCAGGTACATCTACCATATTGGTGCACTTCGTAGGTATATAATTGAAGAATTTCTTCTCCAAATTTGTAACGATTTTGGAGTTTTTAAAAGAATAACAACTGATGTGTACGCATGCTTATTTCTCAAGTTAAGGCTTGTATTAATTATAATTTTGATTTATTGTATATAAAAAGTCCACTGAGGGCCTACAGTGGGTGTACCTGATAAAGTGTTCTATTAGGTACAAGGTACAGGTACCTAATTAGTATATGAAGCTTCACATTAACCCTAGAGAACTAAAACAGATATAGCTTAAAGGAAACTGTGGGCAGGCGTACAGGAGCCTCCCAGTGTGGGTCACTGTGTCCACCCTTTGGCAGAAGAACAGATGGATGATTGACCGGCTTTATCTTCTACCATAAACAGAGCCACTCTGTGCCCTGGTCTGGTATTTCCTGACAGATATTGTCACTCATGAGGAAAAGAAAGGCTGGTGGTGCAATGAAAATTAAAACCTAACCAACCAAGAGATGCTTTTCACCATCATAAATAGTACAAAATAAGTTTCTAATTAGCAATAGATCATATTTTTGGATGACATCATTTACGTTTTCTTTAACATTAATAACAAAATGTGGCATAGCACATAAACATAAACACAAACTTTGGGTCTTAGTAGACAAAGAACCTGAAATCAAAGCCAAGCTTCAAAACACATTTCTTTAAGTTACCATAGTAAAATCACAACATTGTTTCAAAACCACAGATTTTAAAAGTCACACATGCTTTCCAGAAACTGATAACATTAAGGGCCCATTTTACGGAAGACTACATTATCTTCACTTTTTATACATCCATTTATGGAAAATAAGCCCATTTTGAGTTCAGTGGGCCTCATTCACCAATATCTTCCTGTTTTTTCTAAAATTTGTTCTTGAGAAAAATCCTGAGAAAAAGCTGATGTCCGATTCATGACGTGTTCTTAAACCGCAGAACTGTTCACACCTTTGTGCTCTTGAGTGTGTCTTAGCTAAGAACAAATCCCACATAGGAAAACATTGGTGAATGTGAGAATCTTCGTGAAAACTGTGTAAGTGGGTTTTAAGAAGAAATTTCTTCTTAAGAACGGCTGGTAAATGAGGCCATCGTGTTTTACGATGTCAGAAAATCCAATGAATTTACATATACTTGCCTATTTCTCTGTTCAGTCTACAGCAGGTTGGCTCCACCTGTTCGCCCTGAAATAAGTTCTAATAATAATAATAATGTTTCGTCTCTTACTGATTTTTGAACGAGGCACAATACAAGAAAGACCAAAGATAATTTATATATCAGTCTTAAAGGGACACGCTGGCCGAAATGAAAAATTGAACCATGCTCGCCTCCTGAAGCGGTGTCACAATATTCTTCAGAGAGGCTTTCCCATTTAAAGACTACGAAACCTCCCCCAGTACCATCATGCATCTTAGTTTTGGGCCTGATTGCTCCTTTAAAGGCACAGCTTGTTTAATTCCAAGACGTAAAGAGAGGCTGAAAGACGGTCGTGTAAGAAGAAATGGGTTATTGTTTTTTTGTACATAAACCCATACAAACGTATGTGCACCTCATGGAAAAAACAAAAAATGAACAGAATGTGGATTATTGGCCCTTTAGGACTTATCAGAGGCGGGTTTGAAAGGTGTAGTGCGTTAAAGGTGAGTTGGGTTTGACTGTGATGAGGAGCCCAGACGCTAGAGGGCAGAAGCTCACTCAGTGAACACGCTGAGCCTCACGCGGCCTCTTCAGCGGCGCTGTTTCAGCTTATCTTCCTTTCACAGGAAGTCGCTGGCCCTTTCCCGCAGACTCCAACATGGTGAGCAGATTTCTTTCTCAGCTTCTCTACAAAGTTATCCACAATCATCAGCCTTTCTACACGTTACTGGTCAACTGAAGTGCCAACATATTGTATTTACACATCTTATATGTTTAAGAGTCCATATATTGTCGTCAGTTGTCTTTCCTTTGGCTGTTAAAAACGTTTATTTAAACCTGCTCGGTGTCCGTGCACTGCCGCTAACTAGCTAGCTGCTGCTCCGCTAGTGCCACATTACCTCTGGTTGTTCAGTCGGTTGGCCTTTTGAGGACTTATCAGGACTAGTTGATAAAATAAGTCTCTCAGATATTCATAGTTTGTGTTTTGTGAATGTTGGCCGGTTGTGCTGCGGGTTTGTATGTACAATGCTACTGGGTTAGCCTGCCAGCCACCAAGATTGTTAGTCGGGTTTGGCGTTGCGTAGGTCTGCGGACTGCCTTACATGTTAACAGCTCTCGTGGACAATAAATTTGTATTCTGGGTGAAAGTAACACGGAAATTTCAGTGCCCTGTGTCTTCTCTGTCGTTCAGGCCAGAGGACCGAAGAAGCATCTGAAGCGCGTCGCAGCGCCCAAGCACTGGATGCTTGACAAGCTGACCGGGGTGTTTGTGAGTACTTCATTTTTTTCCTTCTACTGAGCCACATGGCTGTGCACTGTGCCTGTATTACTCGCTCAATCTTAGTTTGGGAGAGTTTGTCATTTAAAAGCTAGAAATGTGTGAGAGTAGAGGTCTGACAGTTTGGTGTGGTGAACGTTTTTTTTTTTCTGTCCCCAGGCTCCTCGCCCCTCCACCGGTCCCCACAAGCTGAGGGAGTGCCTGCCCCTCATCATCTTTCTGAGGAACCGGCTCAGGTATGCCCTGACTGGAGATGAAGTCAAGAAGATCTGCATGCAGAGGTTAATCAAGGTTGATGGCAAGGTCCGCACTGACATCACCTACCCTGCTGGGTTCATGGGTAAGTTGTGGCTTAAAAACGGGACCTGTTGGTCGATGTGAGCAAAGCTCCTCCAAAGTGCATCTTTATAATGAGCAAAGTTATTGTTTGATGTTTGTACGTAGTGCAGTGTGCGTTGATAGTTGTGAAGCCAAAGAAATTTTCTTCAGGTTAACAAGGGAAGCTATAGGGGATGTGAAATGATCAGCACATCTCATTTCAGAAGTGGGTTCAGAGACTCAGTTGTTTTTCTATGCAGAAAGTGGCATTCTGTATGACTGTTGGGGCAAAACTCTGAAACTCCATTTTTGGCATTCTTTTTTTTTCTTTTCTTCCCCCAGGTTAATTGTAAATGCCCTTATTCTGTGCCCTTTGTCAATGTTATGAATGGACCATCACAAAAGTCACTTGGGATAAAATCTTGTTTCGTTAATTTCC